AGCTAGACCACGATGGAAAACCTGGAATCACTGGACGACCATCTCGTCCTATTGTGGGACTTCTCAGTAGTGCGCATCCACGACCTCGCCCCCTGCGATATTCGAACCCATGACCTATCAATCTCGTGAGCGAGTACTTAACCACCAGACCACTGAGACACTTAATATTACCAGAGTGAGAATCGAAATTAACATGATATAGTTGACGGTTGAATGATTCAGAATAACAGTAGTAGCAAATTGTGGTAAAAAACAAATTACTACTAGTTAGGTTTTCATTCTTTATGTTTTCATGTGGACACGATTACTGTATAAGTTTAATTGTAAGTAATAGTTCATTTCTGTAACTACAAGTTGTAAAATAAACAATATCATCTCGTTTAGTAGATAAGAGCTTTAAATTCAAGCATACTTAATTAAAGCTTACTGTGTCAACAATGGAGAGTAAAACCTTTGAAGGGTACTATTTTCACAGTTCTTTTGTAATGGTAAGGAGGAAAATACAGACAGTTTTATTTGTTATCATCATTATTATTAATATATCTGATGTCTGTAATGAAACATTGATCAGTGACAACCATTATTGGAAATCACTTCGACAGAAATATGTTTTTGTTTTAAGCAAAGAACTTTCATGCAGAAAATTCTGTATGTACATAAGTGTGTGCTGTTGCTTAGGACACGAAATTCTGATAATATTCGTTTGATAATTGGTTGTTTCCGTTTGGCCTCATTTCCAAAAGAGATACCCCTTCTCTCTTTACTGATAAATATTCATCCTCTCTAAAATCTATAATATACATTTCTATTTGGATTTATGTAGCAATGAATATGATTCCATTACATAAATCATGCTTTTTTAAAGATTGTGCTCTGTTGAAAAATTTAACAATGACATTAATTAGGCCATGAGACTTTCTGTCTGAAGAGCATTATTAACAGTGCTTTATGAATTTTTTACTATTTTATTTATTATTAGCTTTATTCAATATTATATTTTCGGTACAATATAGAATTCTCAGCACAAAGTGTTTCAGCAAGTTTACGTTTCTTATTTTTAGATCGATATTGACAATAAATATTGAGTGATCTCCGGTTAGATATTAGCATTTCAAAAGTCGACATTTGAATAATATTCATTCTTTTCAGGGCATATTGCCAGCCATCATGATATCTCTGATTGTACGAAATGTCGTAAACTTTCCACAAACGCATCTGAATAGTTTATACAATTAATTGATATAATGATCTGTTAAAAAAATACAGGGAAACAGATAATTTGTTGAAATATCTAGATGACAGGAACAGATAGCCCAGATATTCAAGCAAGTCTTTTGGAACAATTATTTTATACTGCATATGTGAATTTTGTGCAGACATTATGGAGCAAGTCTTTCTAATGAAACAATAATTATTGAAAAGTGTCATAACATTGGATGTATACCAGTCAACTGTGAACATTAGTAATGAACAAATTAACCATAAAATGAATCATAGAAAACATATGGATATAATGATTACAACAAAAAGCTAAAATAGTTCAAATTTGTTAAAATCTAAGACAAGATTTTAAGAAATAATTAATACGAATATGGTTTAATGCTCGTAATGGATTTCAGAAGTGGTTATGTGCTCATTAGTACAGTCAGGATGAGAGATAAAAAGGGAGATTGAGTTGTAGCTACAGTAGTATTAGGTTATTGTTTATAGTCGATGAAGATCCTGGATGTATGTTTCATGCTAGTTGTCAACCATTAGTAAAGCGCATCTGTAATATTGAAGGAACTAATACTCATTATCGGATACGAATTCTCATTACCTAGTTACGTAATTTAAGATGTTACCATTAAGCTACTTGAACAGTAACTGACCTCTTGCAGACCTAAGACCGACTGATAACTACTCACTGACCAATCAATGTCCGTCTATTCTTGAATACTGATTGAGTTCTATCGATCAAATTATAATGTGACCATTAGTTTCAGTGATTTAAAATTGCCTACATTGTTTTGGAATTGTATACATACGAAACTAATAATCCTCAAAACTGGCCATATATTCAAGCCTATGTATACAAACTATAGGCTGATGTGTAACAATCTATTATTAGTCATTTTAATACCTACTGAAAATAACCAATAGAATTGCGATGACTCATTTATAGTTTTTAAATATTTTCTCATTTCTAACCTGTACACAATCATACTGTGTAAGTTCACTTCACAATTGATTTCTTTTAAGATAAAATTCATTGAAATGTGAAGTAAACCGCCTGTTATCAGATTGATATACTAAGGTGAAAAGTGTTAACGTCGAATTTCTATCGTTTCCATTGTAAGTACATTTTGTATAAAATAAATATATACCACCTTATCTAGTGAGTTTATTGGTTTTAATAGTAGTGTTTAGTATTTCAGTAATATTGATTAATATGAATCTTGATTGAATTCTATATAATCAGAAGGGTTTTTGTGGAGATTTTACAAATTTCAATAGTTGAAATCATGAGTCAATTGAAAATAGACCACCATGGAAAACCTGGAATCACTGGACGACCGTTTCGTCCTAGTATAGGACTCCTCAGCAGTGCGCATCCACGATCCCACCCCGCGCGAGATTCGAATCTACGACCTATCAGTCTCGTGTGCGAGCGCTTAATCATTAGACCACAGAGCAGGCATTCAACGGTGTTAATGTCTAACTTCAACCAATCCACGAGATTACGCCACCGTCCACCATTGTCTTCAGTGAGTTCCTATCTCTCAACAGACCCGGTTGAACTCCACTGGTCACGGCTTCTCACTAGGACTCCAGGAACTGCCTCTTGAAGTCAGTCACTAGTGAGCAGGGATTGGGATCGTGGGTGCATACTGCTGAGGAGTCCCACAATAGGACGAAATGGCCGTCCAGTGATCCCAGGTTTTCCATTGTGGTCTATCTCCAATTAACTCATGATTTCAACCAGTGAATTCTATATCATTTATTAATTACTGATATAAAACATGGTTCCTACACTTGTGTAAGAAAGGTTTATCTTAGTTTCTGTGACCATATTCTGAATTAATTTCGCTTAAAATGGAATAAGAACCTACAATAGTGAGATTTATAAGCGCCTCAGTAACACAGAACATAAAATAGTTACATTGAAAACTCATGTATGTATGAGCCGAAAAAATTGTATCCAAAATTCATCATGAACTTAAAGAATTTAGAATTCGAATTATTTATGTGCAGCTTCAGCTCGGATAGAACTTTGGACTACTGAACAGTTTTGAGTCACACTGAGTTTAAACGACATTTCATTCATAGTCTACTTCCATAAATAGGGAGTTTACTATGCAGAAAAATGTCGAATGCTTTAACCATCCGGTCATCACTGCACTTTAAAGAATCATAAAGTTTGATAAATGTTAACTTCAACAGCTGAAAATCGGTTGGATTCTATTTATTCAGATAATAGAAGCCTCACTCATATTCATTCACATCTCCCTAATATGTTAATAGCAGTCGGAAGTTTGTTTGGCAATAAAATTTATCTGTACTGGAAATATGTTTGTATGTTGGAACATTTACATGACTAATTTCTGATAAAGCCGAAAAGTGATTCTTCATTTATTTTGAAACTTCTGTCATGTTACATAAAGAACATCGGATAAATGAATAATGAAATACAGGAAGTGATTTACTCTAATATAAAACTTCTCAGTAATCAGTATTCATAACACCCTACACCAAAAGTGATAAACACTAAGATGCTTCTACCTTACATCATCATTGATACTTCAAAGTTATCTTTTTCTAATATCATTCAGACTAAGATAAACCTTAATACTTGTTCAATGTCATCAGTGAATAACCTATTTAATCCATTTCAATCTTACTAATTTTATTGTTTATGAGTTTCTCACTGTAACCAATTCAATAGCAAATACATTGAAGATCGAGTATGTTGAACAAAAAATCAACAATATAAACCAATAGATCAAAGATATTGTTCTTATTATCATATCTCATAGTTACATATTTATACTGTTACCATCCTCAGTTTTATTACCAGTTCCTAGTAAGAATTCCATTCAGTTTTCCTTTTCAATTAAAGTAAAAACTAATTTAGTAAAAGTTTATAGAATATTAACCGAGATCATTTTATGAATCACACAACAAGTGAATGATGTTTCAATTATTTGAATCATCATAATAATGCGTGTTAATATTGTGTAATTGACATAGTTCTAGACGTTGAAATGACCTTGAAAAATTTACTTTATACAATTACTACTATAATAATGAGGTATTGTATTGCATACCATTATATTTAATTTGTTTCGCCTCAGAAGACAATCTAATAAGTGATAATAATAATAATGATGATAATGATGTCATACGATTTCACCATAACCTCAAATTTTCAAGCAAACAACAAAAAAAAAACATCAAGATAAAAGATGATCATCATCTTTTTGCGTGATAGATCATCTAGCTATAGATAACCTCGTCTCTATTATCATTATTATTATCACCGTTACATTTATATCACCATCGTCATCATCATCATCGATACCCCTATATACCATAGATTAAAGGTATTCATGCATGCATACAATTAATAAATAAATAGACAATCATGTGTGCATAGAATCAGAGTCCAACTAGATGATTTGTGAACGATTTGTTTAATATTAGAAGGCCGGTGTTAGTTAGGCAGACATATTATAGATAGACAATTATACTTTGATTAGCACCATTAAGAGTCATATTCACGTGATTATCTTTTTGAGTTAATAATGCACAAACATTTTATTTGTTTATCGAGTACACCAAATTCACTATAAATTTACTGAATGAATATGATCTGAATCCATTTCTTTCCTTAATATACTACTTACATTTGTATATTTTATTCAATTACTTGTGAATAAGTGTAAGTGCCATCAAGAAAAGAAGAAGAATATCATACTTCGAAAGTGAAACATCAATTATACAAATACGTGAATAACAATATGTACGATCAAACTGAAGTGGAATTCCTTGTTAATTTAATTATTAGTACACAAAAATCAGAAAAATCATTTTCTCCTTATGAATATGACTATCATTCATTAAATACTACTTCACAATTTCCTACAGCATCTACAGCACTTTCATCGTCTGTATCATCTTTAAAATCATTTTCAAGTAAGTTGTTGGGTTTTATTTTATTATTATAATTTAATGTATTGTTGTAAAATATGATCATTTGATCCTAGATAACATAACACCTTGTTATTTTACCGATTGGATCAGATTTTGTCTATTGAATATAAATTCATTTGGAGAAAATCTAAATATTGCCTCTCTTACAAATAATAATTTCTGAATTAGTGATTTGATGAATTATGATGGTTTACAAAACTTAACTATTTGACAGTTTTCTTATTTCACTTAAATAATTTATGTGATGCGCCTTGCTTTTCCAGTGATATATTTTGTTAAATTAAAGTTTAGTTCAATAAATCTTGTTGGTATTGATCACAGATCAAATTCATAGTAACAAGCAACACTACATTAAAAATAAATTATAATTACAAGAAATGGTCCTAACTTGTAAGGTGAAGACTACCTCGTTGGAGTTTGCGCGATTATTATGATCAATAGTTGGCATGCGAGAGGGCCCGGGATCGTTGCCCGGCACTTCCACATTGCAACAGCCAGTTGCCACACTTTTGTGCTGAGAATTCTATATTGTACCAAAAGGATAATATTGAATAAAGCCATTAATAATAATAATAATAATAAAAACATGACTCAGAATCGGTCCTAAGTTTTAAAATTATTTCATACCTTTTTTCCCCACTTATTCATTTTCTTTCCTCTCAACTTATATTCATTATTCTTAGTCTTTCTTACCGTCACTTATACTACTTCTGCTACACTGTTTTTCACCTCGATAATTTCTTTTCACTATGCTCTCAACTTGAGCCGATGTACAACAAGACTTGACTTTGGATTGCATACAACTAATTGACCGTCTAAAAATATGAAAATTTACTAGTGTTGGAAGATGATCAAAATACATTTTCCGATCTATTTTTGTTATTGATAAAAATTAATTTATCTGTAAACCTCTTACAGATGCGGTTATATTCAAAGTTGAAACCATTGATAAATTTATTGCATACCTGATTAGTGTGTTGATTAGACGAAAGATAGCTTTCAACTAGGTATCTCTAGGGCATCAGTTCACTAATAGAAAGAATGAATTATCTTTAGTCTCCAATGGTTTAAGAAGAATCCAATAATCTTGATGATAGTTGTAACAGTAGTAGCACCAATAGTCGTAGTAAAAGTAGTAATTCCATGCACAAACTAACATTATTGCCTTAAAGTCAGAGTATTTTTAAACTACTTGTTTTAAAACTTAACTGAAATACGGTTCACACCTGTGACAGTAATTGGGATACTGATTCATTTTAGTTAAACCTTATCAAGTCATAGGGTTAAGTCATACTTAAAATGTTTTGATCTTGATGATAAGATTAACCATATTCAGTCAAACTATTTGTTAACGGATCCCATCAGCCAAGTGATGCAGTATACATACATTCATGTTAGTGATTCTAAAGGGTTAGATTAGTTACTATACATCTATCATTGTCATTTCATACAGTCACTGAAAACATCATTTGGTATAAACATACAACTAGTTAATCTTCCTAATTCTTCTTTAACCAATCAGCAACTAGATCTTATAATATAATTAATTACCAGATAACCTTTAATCTGACGTTTGAACAGATGATCACCATATCCATGTCTCTCTATCTCTAAGTTCATTAACCATTATAATGTATATGTATATCCTTAGTTTGTAATATATTCCATAGTTTAGACGGTTCAAATCTTCACTCCATCAATTAGGGCTCCAAATTACAATGAAATACACACACACACACACCATGAATAAAATATTTTGGTTAAATCGAAATTCTATTTTGCATACACTAACAATAATATTATCTATCAAGGTTACAACCAGATCAGACTATTTCTTCTGCAAAAGTGTATCATATTTTTTTATTTAAAAAAATACATATGAATTATTTCTTATCGTTCATAGTTAGTTAACTAATTAGTTGACCAGTTAAGAACGTGTTGACTGTCGTTTGAAGTTGACTATCGCTCCAAATGTTTATCTCAATCTTCTTTTCTTTTTCTTTCGTTTCTGTTACTTTTTTCCTGATTTAGATTCCGTTTTTGTTTTCATCCGTTGAATATTAGTCTATTTCTTCGGTATTTACGTGTGGTTCATTTTGTCGAAATCTTTTGTATTTCATTGTTTTTATTTTATGTATCTTCTTAAAGTTACTTTTATTTTAAACCACGGGTGAGATAATATCTAACCACTAATTATTATCATTACTGTTGTTCTTGTTATACCTAGATCATTGTATGTATGAGAAATACTGACTGTTTATTACAAATCTCATTTTCACGAATCAACCTGTTTCGACTGCTGGGAATAGTATTGTGTTATTAGTTTACAACTCATTTATCAAGTACATATTTGTGTACTGAAGTTTGAATGATGTGAGGGCTAGTTATATCAGGTAACTGATTAAAGCGGAGTAGTTTGAGAATGTGAAATACTATAGTTGCTACCCAATCTTATACACACATTCACTTAGTCAATCAGAACAGTCGAAAAATATTTCAAAACTATTCGACTCATTGACTATTGATGCATGTAATTATACTTGGAATCCTTCTCATTATTCGAATCCTATTGATGATGATACGTCTCTCAAATAGTAATATATTAAGGGATAATATTCAAAATTTTGTTTTAATGACTAAAAGTATTGAATACAGTGAATACCTAGGACATCATTATATATGTAAAACTGTAGAGAAGATTTGTAGCTCAGGTCAATAAGAACCAATCAAGATCGAAGTGCATAGAACAAGTTGTGAAACACATATGGAGAAATTCGAACACTTCACTTCTATCTGAAGTTTGTGCTGATAATGTCGTTCAGAAGAACGATGAAAGCTCCACGACCAAACCATCTAGCTCAAAGAACAAAACTCTACCAAAATATGCAAAACTGTACTGAAGCAAATTTACGATACAATTTATTAACCTGTATGATCATATTCAAATAACATGGTCAATGAAACCAGTTAAAAAATCGATAAATTCAAATGAAACGATTTTATCTATCTATTTAAGTTGTTTAGATTATGAACTTAGACACAATAAAATAGAGGAGATGAGTCATTAAAAAAAATGAAGGTCATGTATAATAACAATCAGCATTGGGTTTGGGGGACATTTAGGTTGACACTATTTGTTTGTGTCTTATATAGGCATATGAATGTGACCTTGAATAAATAAAATATAAAGTTGATACAATCAGTATTTAGACAAAACTATTTGAGAAAGGGTAAAATAAATTTTTTCAAAAAAAACACAACAACAACCTAGTTTTTAGCAGGATAATAATCACGTTTATATAACATGTGAATTATGTTGTTAAACAATTCTGTCATAATAGATTTTCTGAGATGGTAAAGAGGATATTTAACATAGTAAGTATAGTAGAAAGTTAGTTCTCATCTCTAACTAGGATCGACTGAAGAACTAAGGATTTGAAATTAAAACTATGATGAATAAAGTGTAATTCTTGAATCTTTGATAGACGATTTGAATATTCATCTGGATCAAGGTCATGTTTATTGTATCGAAGCATAATTTTCTATACTCCATTGAATTACTGATTCATGTCATTGTCTTGAAAGCATTGAGTGTTATTATGTAGTGTCATAAAGATTGTCGAAGTTAAAATTTCACGTAATGCACCGACTGTGGTTAGATAACTACTGACAATCTGATGTAAATGAACAGTGAGGTACACTGACATACAGGGAATATATAACCCAGAATCCCCAGGCCTAATTTTGAGCATCTGACCTTCAGACCACAGTTGGGGTTCAATAGTTCATATTTCTAACTTCAGTCAATTTGCGATATTTTGTGTCCATTATCCACTACTATTGATGATATTTGTATCACTTCTGATGGTTGAACGTCACTGGTTACGGCTTTTCTTTAGAACACTAGGAAGGTAAGAACACACGGCAATGTTCAAATATCCTGGTTTTGATACCCGATGGGGTTTAGGATGTGCATTGTTAATGATTTCCATATTAGGATGAAACATCTACCCAGTACTTCATAGTTTTCACTGGTTGTTTAATTAAAATAAATTAGTGATATCAAACTGTAAACAGTGACTGTTTTGTTACTATCAACAATGTGAATTTATTGAATGAAATATTAAGTAGGTAATTACGGTTACAATTACCTTTAATCATACTCTTAATAACACATGTCCCAACCATTTCATCAAATGAGCTAGTTGGTATATGTGTTACGTATGCCCAACCACCTCCTACTTTGACGGACGATGATCGTTGATGCAGTAGTAGATTATAAGAAGGCTAGGGATGACCAAATTGACAGTTGTTTTGAGTTCCAGATGTTTTTCAATTGTAGAACGTCATGCCGAACTAAGATGTGGCACCAGTTCATGAATTAATTGAAAACTGAACTATACCATGCTAATAGGTGTACACTACCTGATTAGAGTCCGTATGGGTTATAGTAACCAGCAGTTATAAACTTTAGTTGATACGGCTCAGAATCGATTGTAATGGCTCAGGTGTGTTCACTCGTTGGTTTACTCTTGAACATGTGTCCTAAAATCACGTTACACCATACCACTTTGTGATGTCTTAAAATAATCTAATCTCCATGTATCAATGTGATAAGGCAATTTAAACCGAAATACATATTTGTCACATCTTATGTTGCATACAATTAACTAATGACACCATTTGTATTTCTTTAGTCTAAACATTTTTATTAATGTCTGTGCACCCTAATTGGTGAGTATATCTCTTATGAGAAGTTGAAAGTTGGTTAATAGTTTTGATCTTACAAAATAAGTTTACTAATTATTAAGTCTTTTGAGTACATAGATAGGTTGTTAATTATTCCTAAAACCTATGTTATTAAACTCGACATTGACAATAACAAACTAGTGTGATTTTTTCCATATATTGTGTGTAAATTATCACCTACCCCATAGTGCACAATATTATTGAGAGGACACATTTGCTTTCTAAATAGGTTATGCTCAGTAATTATTCTGGATATGGTTGTTTCTATAATATAAAGAGTGTAATTAACTCAATTATTAAAAAAAAGGAATAGTAACGTGTTCTTACCAGTACACAACCATACATAATTAAATGTTCCAGGGTAACATTTTTTTCTTATTTCATAAACAATACTGTACAGTTTTGTTATTTATGACTGTGGACACAATTAAATTGATGTCAGTTAACCAGGGTAAGCAAAGAAGCATCATAATAAGAAGGAATGAGATCACCAAAACTGTAAATATAATGTTGATCATTTTTAGTGACGTGCTGTCCAAAAGTTGGATAGTTACAATAAAGTTCAGTCTGTTTAACTATATGTGTATGATATCCGATGATTCTTTGCTACTGTTTATCACAAGAGTACCTAGAAATTTATCGATGAAGAATAATTGTTTAATTAACAAATGAATATATGGAATAACTCATTAGTATAGTTTGAATCATTAATCACTCTATTATATTGTATCACCTTTCACTTTTAAATGATAGTAACAAGAATAGTAAAATAAATGGTGTTCTCGTTTACTAACTTGAAAGTTGGTATTACATAATCAGGATGGTTATATCATCAAGTCAGGGTGAGCATCACTAATGCATGTAGTTTTAATGTATCAGAGTGTTGGAGATAACTGCCTAAACGATAGAATGTTTTTAAATCTTGATATTGTGGTTTGTTCTAAAGTATTTGTTATTATTAAGATAACTTTGGTGATCTATTCGATCAACTCTAAGAATCAAACAAAATGGTTATTTCTGAATGGTAATTGATGTTCATTAGTTTAATAAATGTATCTGCTCTGATTAGATTTTTATTAACGCTTAACAATAATCACAACAGTCATCACAACTTTATAAAGATCATACATTCAATCTGTTCCCATCCTCACTATCCTATAACAGTCTTGATGTTAAAATAAAGTCAACAATCGAATGAGCTCTGTTACTTTTGTACAGAGTCCAATAGATTCTTTGCTTCAGTTTTTTTCTTTCTTAGTTAACAATGACAGAAACCTGTGATTCTTATAAAGCTTAAAAATCATTCAAAATCATATCCGGGCTCATTAGTTCAGAAGTTAAGCATTCGTGCTAGAGACCGAAGGCCGTGGGTTCGATCCCCGGTAACGAGCTTGTGAGTGAGCACTGATAAGGAGTTACACATTAAGAATAAACGGGGTCTAGTGTCTCTAGGTTTTAAGTGATTTTCTAGCATTGATGGGTTCATGATCTCAATAAAATTCAATAAGCTCCACAACCTGAAATGCCATTCTGTTTGTCTAACTTTCTTTCCGAGAATAAACCATTTTTAAATGTTATTAATTTGTGTGGCGTATACTTAATCACTACTTGCCTCAACGTATGATGTTGTCTACGATGTTGAGTGTGAGATCAGAAGAAATCTATGAGTGGTAAAACCAATACGTGATGTCAGTTCATAAAGTTAGTGATTGTTAGACTAAACAGTATAGGTAGGCACAGATTATCTGGTTGGGGTGTGCGTTATTATCGTAACCAATGGTTAGAGATTTTGGATGACATGACTCAGAATCAGTCGAAATGAAAAAGATGCATTCACTGTTATCTTTCATTGGATCTTGAGTTTTAAAATTATCTAATGCCTTCTTTCTTCTCGTATCATATTGTCGGTGTTTAGTGTTTTCTAACATCGTTGATATTGTTACGACTTCTACCAATCTGACATTTGTTTTGATAATTTAGTAACACTGTACTGACGCCATGTGAAATTATTGCCAGTTGGCTCGAAGTGTAATCTGAACTTATCAGGAAATGAAAGAAAAAAGACTGTCAATTTTCAATAGAATAACTGAAAATCAATGATATTTTAATAGATTTATTCACTTTTAAGTAAACACACAAACACACTGAATAATATTTAGTTTATTTATATAGATTTATTGATATATGCATACCTACACCCCAACAGAGGTCATGATTATGAAATTATAAAGTTGGGGATAATCAATAATCGATATATTATGATTATTTGTTTTTCCATATATCAGGCTAACAGTTGTCACCATGACATGTACATGCATATGTAGCAACGTATGTATGTATGCATGTACGTATGTGTATATAAAGACACCATATCACTGATAAAAAGTCATGATCACTGTTGATAATTTGTAGAAATTTTTTATCATCATAGTCTAACATCGAAAAAGACTACTGATTCATTGTTTCATTCTAATTTGAAGTCATCTCAACAGTATTGACTTATTACTTCTTCAATGGAATAGAATTTTAAACTCTCATAACCTGTGGCAAACATGTGGCAGCTGTCATTCCTTTTCTGATAGAGTCTATAATCGCCTATGATTTACGAATTGTCAATGACTAACATAGATTCACTTGACTTATCATAGTTTCGTCGTCATCAGTATAGAGAGCTTATGTAGATTGTTGAATTTTCATAGTTTACATAACGGAATGACATTATTTTGACGAACATGGAAAACCCGAACTCGCTGGATGTGTCTCGTCCTGATAGGGGAGACCTTAGCTGTACATATCCGCGAGTGTGAGGAAGTTCCCCGCCAATGACATTGAGAGATCCTTAAATAATATCTCAAATTGATGGATGTTAGAAATCAGACCACTACATGGTGACTCAGTGGTATAAATGCTAAGAAAACTTCACAAAACCCATGGTAGCATGATCTTGGTACACAACTGAAGAGTCTAATGCCAGGGTGAAACAACTATCCAGTGCTTCCTGATTTCCAATGGTGGTATTGTTGAAATCAGCTCGTGATGTAAACTATAAAATTCCAGTCAGTGAATAAATTCAGATTAATGAAAGTGATGAATGCATGTAGTAAACAATTAATCCGTGTAGGTCTGTATCATCTAGATTATATTTAGGAAAGTATGAACAACTTCCATCGTTCGAAATTTCAAGCTTGAGGTTACCGGTAATTAACGTTTCAATGATTCATTAGCTATCATATTCCATGTGGAACTAAATTTATTCTTACAGAATAATATAAATTAATGGATAGTTATTACTTTTCTTCATATAACTATGTAACTTATTTTTTCTTTATCCATGCGTATTCGTTCTTATTTCTTTTGTGTGTAGATTATCGTCCCCGTCAAAAAATTCTTATTTGTGGATTACCAGATGATATATCCCCTTGTTTAGACTATGCAATGATAGCGAAACCTGGAATGATTGACTATTCATCTCTAATTATTGCCAGTACTGATGTAAGTTTACACAATTACTAAAATGCGTTTATTAATGAGCTTCTTTATGAGTGATGATGAATTGTCGATAATGATTAGTGTGTTTTCGAGATGTCTTCACACTATGGAACACTTGCCATACTGTATTACAAGTTTGAACCACTCAGGCATCATCAATTTTTTGAATATTACATGTATGCCTTTCTAACAATTGTCAAATAACACGAAACTTAGATAGAATTTCCCGCCAACTATCTCCAACCAACTAACGGTTCAGTTCTATGTGCATCTTCTGTATATTACTACTAATCCCCATCAACTGAAGTGTGATTTGTGGCTGTTATGGTTTATTCATATGGCGCACTAATTCCAAGTTGGCTATCTCAGTTAATGACTTCATTTAATAGTTGATAGCCCAAGAAATATCTATAACCCTTTTACTAAGCTGATAACCATAACTCCAGAAAGATCGCACCATTTAAACTTAAGTCAGTCAGTTAGTCACAATGTAGAACCTAGCACGTATGTACAACGGTTCAAGTTGTCATATCCCATTGGCACACAGAGATGAAATTGTCAGACCAAACTCCATAATAGTAGAGGTAGTAACAGTATCAGTGGAAATAGAAAATATTACTCATTGAACATACAACTCGACAAGAAAATATAAATTAGTGAAATAAAAACACAAAAAGTTATGATGAATTCACAACTCAGAGTCTGAGGAAAGATACAGAATGCATCCATCTGCACCACTGCGAACGATTTTGAGCCATATCATTCAAAACCTCTGACCACTGGTTATGATAATGACGTGAACCGCAACCAGGTAGTATACTGCTACTGTCATTACTCAGTTCAACTGTCATTGACTTGATGGACTGATGTAATGTTTTGATTTGGCTGCCCCTAACTTCCTTATAGTTCACTCTTACACCAAACAACATCACTCATCGAAGTAGACGGTGCTTAGGCACACGTAACGCACACCTCATACACCTCAGTTGATGAGATTCTGCTACCTCATCAGTCGACTTGCTATCTTTACCTAGTACCCTATTCCTAACCCAGGCACTGTTTACTCCATGGTCCAAAAATACATGATCAATGCTTCGAAGACAGCTATGATCTCATGCTAGTAACCTGTGAATACCCACTATTCTTAATGACCAGGTTTCCTATCCCTAAAACAGAACGGAGCAAACTGCTGTGCAGTAAATTCATCGTTTGGTTGTCAGACAGTTATCTCGCCTACGCCACAAGTTCCCAAAAGTCGATCGAATCTTCCTAATCCGTTCTTAGATTTTGTCAGACTTTCAAACTCATGTGGTTGTAGACGTGAAATATAAAATCATAACGTCCTGAAGTTATGCATAATAATCATTCAACTGATTGATCCACACGTAATCAATAACATTGTAGTTTATTAGTCGTTGAGAGCAACAGTACAATATTAATGAAATTCTTTCCACATCTAATGTTATCAAAGGAGATTCACTTTATCCAGTTGTCGAGACATCCTAAAATTTATTTCTATTCAAATGATTTACCATGAAATTTTCCCTTTCAACAAATGTAACATCATTATAAACTAAAATTTTATCCATGTTATGCACTCAGATTGCATGATCAGTGAATTCAACAAACTATGAGACAGATGCCACTTGATATTTATTTAACTTCATGCATTCTAATGCATTTAAATCACATGGACAACTATCAGTTAGGTACCGACACTTATATATAGATCTATGAGGAGGTGCATCACGATATACAGTCACGTTTTCACTTTTCTAACTTTTTTTTCTACATATATATCACTGAAAAATTTGTAATGAATAAACTCATGAATGGTGTGAAAAATATAGCGAAATAAAATATAATTTGTCAGAAAAAAATAAGGTAATTAAATATTACACCTATGTGTATTACCATTGCCACCAACACATGAAGAGACAAATCATGTAAATTAATGATCACCGATTAGTTTCTAAGTATGTTTAGATGCATGTAGGTAGGTAAGCAGGTAGGTAGGTAGATTGGTTGGTTTATGCATTCCACTAATCGACTCTATTTTTAATTGGTATTTCAAACTTCTCTCGACATCTGAAACTTGTGTAACCTATATATGACTATTACATTTTGTAATACTTAATTATTGATTAGAGATATGAGTATAGTCAGACAGATCAAATCGGTTTAGAAACAGTACAAATTTTTCTGTTGCACGAAAAAGATCTCTTCTGTTGATAGGCTATGATGAATCGAAAATCACGTATTTTATTGTTATACTTTAGAATTTCTCATTAAGGTGAATGAACACAATTTTGGTGAAGTTTCAGTCTCAGTTGTACGGTTTAATCATCAAGCTTTTTCATCGACTCATTTAAAAATAAATAACTATGAAGTGAAGAATTAAGTCAATTTAGGGGGAAACAATGAGAATTAATGTGCAGATAATGACAAGTGGCAACAACCAATCAAATATAGTGTTAATAAAATGAGCTTTTTGTTATATTAGTATCGGGAATTTGTGAAGATTGTAGTATTTTCACCGTTATAATCACTAACTGATCTTAGCCAGACCACCATTGAAAACCTAGAAACACTGGATGTCTGTTTTATCCTAATATGAGACTATTCTTCAGAAGTGTGCATCCACGAATTCGCACGTGGAAATCAAACGGCTAACCATTAGACCACTGAGCTGACATCCAACGATGTTAGTGTCTAACTTCGAATAACTCACTTCTATCTAAATTTTGTGTTAATGATGTTGTTTAGGAAGACATTTAAGGATTCATGATTAAGCTACCGAGCTAAGACAACACAACACCAACACCAAAATCATCCAACTGAGCTGCGAATCTTCCCCACTATACTTGAATTCATAAAGATAAGTAATTAAACAGTTAAATGCGAATTCAATGATTAACTTCAATAAATTTTATGATATTGGTACGAACATCATTCTATGTTATCAAGTCGAGTAACTGCGCTTCATTTTTGACTTAAGTTCTTAAGCAAAGATGATAACTTTGCCATCAGGTGGGGGAGAACACACAACATAAAAGCTAGCTAGAACTAGTAAATAACAGATGATTTCTATTTGAAATTTAATATATTCCTGAGAAAAATTAGTTTTAATCAAATACTGATAAATGTTAATCCACTTCAGAATTTGATATGCCTTATCAACCATGACAATGGATAATTAACATTCGTGTTACATTCGATTATGTCAAACTAACCGGGTATTTTATAATTTACGTCACGGACTGACATTACTTAAATGTTACCACTGGAAGCCAGGAAGCAGTGTATGGGTGTTTTGTACCTGATATGGGACTCTTTGGCTGTGTACATCCACGACTCCACTAGGGACTGAACTCAGGACCTTCGGGTCTCGAAGTGAATCTCTAACCTTCAGGACATTGAGTCAATATTCAATCAAAACCATACTTGGCTGTTCTGGGTTTGGTCTGCATTGGGGGTCTCATACAAAGACAAAATGCTGTGAGATTCATCCTGGTATGTGACGGTTGTCTTACTAAGATATATCCGCGGTAAAAACCATAAGATTCAATAATCTCCAAGATCTTTTCATTAAACTGTCATGATACGAAAGTAATACTGAATATTATTGTGTAAGTTAATGCAGTTCCGTTGTTCATGATAAATCAGTCAAAAAAGTAATGTTTCGATTACTTAATTCTGTCTTATTTAAAGGTTTTCATCAAAAAAGAGTAACTATCTACTTATCTACCTGTCAAGGCATCGGTTCAATGTGTCTATACACCAACAATGTTTAGTACAATTTGATTAGGTTATTTAAATCTTGGTATATTTGGAGTTATTTGAAAAAAACAAACAATTTAACGGAATATATCATACGTTCAAATATATAACGATAATCGTTATCGAATAACGAAACATATATCATTTTGTATTATTCTCATAAGTATTTCGCTTCGAATAAAAAAAAAACAATGACACCATGTGAAAATGCAAATTCTTTAACAATATATATATAATCTACTAGGTCACTCATATGACTATCTCATCAATAAATACATTTAGATAATATAATCATACCAAAATATATCTATTAGACATAGGTAAATATTCATGTTAAGATAGAAAGTGGATCGTTATTAGGATACAAAACGATATAATGACAGTTACACCATGGGATCAGATACCTCCAAATGCCCTGGTACGGCCAAGGGTGGGGAGAGTTCGTTCTCCTCGAAATGCTCACACATGGCCATGCGTATACAGCTACTGTCAGGGAAGTCCTACTCACTGCCTTCTCGTGGCGGGGGTGTTGTTTACGAAATTGAGAGGACGAAAAGCGAATGTCCGGCACTTCAACCGGGTTGGTGAACACGGAGAGTTCACCTAGGGGAGTTGGAAAACCCTGATTCCAAACCAGTGGTGCACATGGGCTCCAGGGTCCTGAAGGAACAAATGGCGTATGAACTTGTTGTTGGTCATCGGCTACCATGGAACTACATCTCCTAAAGTTGCTCCACTGCCTTGTGGATTAATACTTTAGGTCGAAGACTCCGAGTGTGGCCCCCTAGGAGAACCACCTGCTTCGGTCTGGGCACCCAGGGAGTATCATAGCCCACACACAAATCAAGTGACTTGTGTGGCTTATATGTATTCGGTGCCCCTTTGTACCAATATTTGTGTTCATATAAATAAATAAATATAAAATCATATGATTTCTAATCCCTTCTACTTAATACTGTGATTTATTCCATTGTTTATTACTTCGTTAAATAACTATTTCGTTCGAAATTTCTCGATAGTTCCATAGATATTTATTACAGTAAACATGTTGAGCATAAGTCTTGCTATGAAATAACTTATCCCTATATATTCGTAATCAGCCAATTAGTGAATAATTCTCAATAGTTATATCAGTATGATGGTGAATCATCGGTTGGGCAACAATTGGAGTAACATTCTATTCTTGAAGTGCGTTATGATGCAACACATTGTACTGTAATATGTCATAGTAATAAAACCCAGACATAATCTTGATGTAAATCGAAAATAAATTGTCAGCTTCATTGTGACCAATAATCAATATACCAATGAAATCAATTAGTTATACCAGTTGGGTAATTTTTTTGATAAACAATACTCTAATAACAAGATTTTTTTCATAAATTCATTCGTGAACGATAATGAAGAACTGTTATATAGCCCTGACGAAAGATAAATGTAACTCATTAACGAAACAAAATCACTTCTATACTATTTGAAAAATTACATAAATATATTGTCCTACAGCCCCTTCAAGATATTACGTGACAAGATCTCTTATCAGAACACCGACTTATACGACCTTAGCCCTATGCCAAACTAATAACGCGTTAACCAACACGAACAGCCTAGAGTCAACTCAGTTCCTATCGGTTCTTCTAGCCTTGTCCTGCCCATTCAGTCCAGAACACAATCTCAGCTACTACTTCAAGAATCATCTATTTCAGATATACGCAGTTTATGTACAAGCAAATCAGACCACATCACACCATAAAATAAAAAATGACAATTATACAAGATCAAACTAAAAATATCTGTGAGTGTGAGACTGTAACTAATAGATTGGGAATGACTTAAGAATAGTAAATCGTATCGCAATAGTCAATAGGTAGAATGAAATGAATACGAATATATATAATTCTCTCGTACTGTTTATCTGAACAAGATTACGATTATTTGTATAAATTTCAGTATGATAAATACATATATTTCCATACATTTCTCAAAAAGAAACCATGTGATTTGAACTTTTTTTAAGAGGCTAGAAACAGTGATACAGTGGGTGGTACATATTAAATTTTTAGGTAATAATATGTATATGCATAGATTATCATAAGTAAATTACGTGCTTACACAAATATCAATGTTATGTTATTTTTCTTTATTCTAATTCAATCATGAATCCATGACTGGATTATGTTTGGGTATTTTAACAACATTCATTGTATTTATTTTCGTAGTTATCACAGGGTGATATTTTTTTATTACGATCCAGTGTTCTGTTAACAATTGCTACCTAAATTGTAATAAGTAGTTATTTAAATGGTAATTTTTAGGTTGTGGTGAGGGGGGACAATAATAGCTTATCGCTAATACACTGAGTTAAAAGATCAATATATTCCACTATGTGGACCAACTTTCATTCTCATTCTTAGATAGACATATTCATCTTAATGTTGTTGAGTTCTCTAACATAAGTAGTTTAACTGAGGAACTTTCTTTACCGTTTTCGACATCATCGAGGTTTAATTCATGTAGAAGTGAACTTCTTTTGTAGGTGTTAAAAAAAACCAATCACAAGGAGAACCGTAAGAGTGAACTAATTTAACTCTATTGAAATAACTAAGAGGCTCACTTCTGTAAGAAGTAAATACCGATAATGTTATTCAGAATGACAATAAAATTTTCGTAATTAATTCATCCAGCTGATAGAAACTGAATAACATCAAAAGTATCCAAATGAGCTGCAAATTGTCTTCACCAATTTAGATATCTTCATTTCCATCTATGAAAAAGTGTGGTTTAGTGGTTTAAGAGTAACTGTCTATTCGCTATTTGGTTGTAAGTTCAAACACCAACCCATATAACTTTGTAAGCAAAGATAGATGGTGACTAGCAGTGGAATCCATGACGTGCGTTTCGTTCTGTCTGTGACTCGTCAGCTGGACGTACCTGCATCCGAGTTGATGGTCACTCCGGTGCTCGAACCCAGTACCGTACGCTTCAAACGCATCACGATATCTACTTAGTTAATGAGTCCAGATAGTCACTGGCTTATACAGTGGGGTGAAGTTTAAATTCACTTTTGTATTGCTTGCTTGAATCTTCTCACTGATGTTTAGGACTGCAACTGATCAGTCTCTTATTGGTATATGTGCATCCTGTAGGGATTGCCTTTGGTTTGGTCATGTATAAACAAATCAACTTTTAGTTATCTATCTTAGTTATATTGAAACTCTGAAACGAACAATTTTTTCGTAACTTAATAATCATTGGATAGTAGTCTACAATAATTTAGAGTCACTAGTTGAACGGCTGTAAAAGTTAATTGGTATTGTATTTCTCAAACTATATTTTTCAGTGTTTAAAGTGTTCACTAGTAGTAAATTATACATTTCTCAATAATTTTAAATCATTGTGACTAATAATGAACATAATTAATGGGATAAAGGTAGCATAGACTGTACAAAACGATGATTGATTGAACTATTCACTTATTTACATATCCTCTTTACTACCTTTTTTCAGTGTAAATACTTGTTAGATTTTATAGTTTACATCATACACTAGATTTAGTTAGATAACCGTCGGAAACTGAAAAGTACTGGACAAGTAAGAGTTATTGGCAGATCATAGATTCACAATTCCATAGGGGATTGAACTTGAGACCTTTAGATCTCGATACAAGAAATTACTCGTAATGTAAACTATAAAACCTAACAATCTTCACACTTTCTCCCCCCTCTCTGCACCAATACTTATTAGACCGTTATTTAATTTTACATCTAGAGAATTGTGGTCTATTTCGGTATTAGTATTACTCTTATAATAGACCTAGTCTCAAAATTGTAGATTTGTCATGATGTGACTACCTAATCTATAAGATCTTACGTGGAAGTCACGTCATAGTTTATACTGACTCGTCCTATCGTGACGATCAGCAATATGCCGTTTAACACTTCTGAAGAACATATTTGGGCTGGGTAGAGATTAATTTATTCAATATAAAAAAAACGAGAGGTTACATAGAGTGATCACGCCTGCATGACCGAGTCATGTCTCAGAGTGTTACATGTTGGATGTAAATCTTTTCAGTAATTATATGCTCGGCTTCAAAGATTGTGTGCTTAGGAACCAATATCACTACACACCTTATCTGTTTTAAATTGTTTCATTTAATTTTTCATCTTCCTTATTTATTTTTTGTTATTCGCTATGTAGATTGACGAATTAATTGTAAATTATTTTGGAAAAATTAAAATTCATCTTGTCAATTGGGATGAAACAGACTACGAAGAGATGTTAATTGAACGTGTACGACCGAGATCAGATAATTTTGTTATTCCGTTAGTGATTGAATTTCAACCAACTATTAGACGAATGAAACGAATTAGAGAATTATTAGAAAAGGTAAGAAATAATAATATGATAGATAATGGAGTATTTAAAGATTACATACTTTCTCTCTTTGTTTGTGTGTGTTCCTTGATTTCGATTAACAAAATTTGATGTTTTGTGTTCTTAGGAGTAGTTTAATAAGAGATAAATTTGAATAGAGGTCAGTTCTCCCGTGGATTACATTGATAACATGAACTTTTGTCTAAATGATAATATCAAGATAATCATGTTAGAATGTACACATGCTAATAGCAGCTGATCAATTGAAATCTTTGATATTAACGATGGGAAAATATCAAATTTTTACCAATTCACTGCATACTGGTCTTAGAAGTTAATGACTGTTTTAACTGAATAGTATCATGGATAACACATTTGGTTCAAGTTCGAATGAGTGACCACTATTACATTACGCTGTAGGTACATCCAACTGACAAGTCTCAAACAGGACAGACTGTATATCCTAGATTCAACTGGTAACCCCAATCTATCTATTCTATAACATTATGACAATTGAAAGTTTTTGTATATAATGCAGAAATGTGTTATTTTCTTTGGAATTAAATAATAAACCCGTCATTCTCATCATGATGATTTACATTAACGTGTACTTAGGTTGGCATTTTATACCTCATTACTATTGATTATAAGAAGCACAATATGAGTTGTGTATGTAGCTCTTGTCCTCTCTCTCTCTCTCTATCGTTTTTTTTTTTCTTCAAAGAATAAATTTTTAATGCTAATCATAAACACGAATAGAATAAACAATTTATTGTTAAAAATTCTTATAACTCAAAGAAAATTAACCGTAAACACAAGACTGAAATATGTGTTCAACTATGTGATGTATTGGAGTTTGCCTTATCTCTTTCTGTTTCCTCATTGAGATTCAATAAGCTTTGGAAAAAAACAGAATGATATACTTTTTCCCATTTAATTGGTGCCAATATATATATATATATATATATATATATATATATACTGTTATTTTTTAATCACTAGTAGGGGAGGGTTGATGTAGACCAATAATAAAGGTATGTAAATTAAATTCACACATAGACTAATCACGACTAGTGTGTAGTGAAAATACGTGATCATTTGGATCACAGGATGTGTGTGTGAGTAAAAAGCGATATATATATATATATATATATATATATATAATGTTGTCAGCTTAAATTCAATAGATAGTTTCTCTTAATTTATGGTTAGTTATACAGTATGAAGGATATTAAGGTCTATTACAAGTTGTGAATGATATCCTGCTTTATTTTGTAGTTCATTAGAAAATTAACACAGGTTATTGATTCATTGTGAACTGTAGATTTATCAGCTAGTAAATAGTCTGTGTTAGTTCTTTCTAGACGATCATAGAATATACACGACTGGTTTAAGCTCGGATACTGTTACATTACATCAGTTGCAATTAAGGTTTTTACAACTACAGAGAAAATAGGAACCAGCTATTATAATCTGCCTGGAACAATTTTGGAAATTGTCACATCTTTTATTGTTACTGTATCGATTCAAGTTGTCGCATACTTCTAACGTGCAAACAGAAAGGAAATAATTTGCTTAGAAACAAAACACAGTTCATTTTTATCAGCCTAATTAGCGTTATCATCTGTAAATTCCTATTGAACAATGTCATATCTTGTAATAATCAATAAAGCAATATACATTCGTAGATGCGCACTGCTGAGGAGTCCCATAGCAGGACAAAACGGCTGTCCAGTGTTTTCCATGGTGGTCTAGCTTCAATTGACTCATGATTTCAATCAGTGAAACATATATAAAACTTATTGGTGTGTGTATTTTCTCACTAACAATTCTGGTATTTATCATAGTTATATTATTTCCATTATAAACTTAACGATCCATCTTAAATGAACGTTAATACCAAATTCTACGTACATTTTAAGTAGTTCACAATAAAAACAGACGTGTTTCTACGTGAAAAATATTATGTTAAACACCACATACATACATATATACGTCTGGTATGGTTTCCAAAATACAGGATCAATAACAAATATAAAATGAGTTAGTTAAGAACAAAAATCAAGGTCTCAAGACTGTCTGATAGATTACTGAACATAATTTTAATGCTCATTCAATACTTAACAACCGCTTGTGTCATTCACATAAGAACTATCCTGTTACAAGTGGATACTTCAAGCTGATAGACGGGAACACATAAATTTTGTTGGCTAAAATGTGAAACATGGATATAAAAGCGCTGGGAAATGTATTATTTCCCAAAAATCGCCAAAAGCGAGATTTTTCAAAAAGAAATAATCACTACATGGAGTTTTAAAATCACGGTTTTGGCATTGGAACAGGCTCTATGGAATTATTATCCTGATTAGCTAATAATTGAGGACACATTGAAGATCAAAACAATTTTCCATGTATCACTGTTAATCAAACCAAGGGAACAAATCTTTTGTTTCCTTTCATCTTTTCAATAGTTATCGGGTAAGGACTGAATTAAGAGTTATTAGTACAAGTTCGGCTGAAACATATTTGTGTCGAGTTCACTCATTTTGTTAAATTCTCTCATTAATACTTCGATTTATATATCTGGCATCATTCATAAAAAATAGCCCATCTCAAATATATGTAGTATCAACTGTAGAACAGGGAAATGATTATAGTAAGACTTTTTACTTGTTATCTTGGGAGTTTTGTTCTCTGAGCTGGATGGTCTGGTTGTGGGGCTTTCACCGTTCTTTTGAAAAACACCATATCAGAGCCTGAAATGTGTGCTGCTGATGTTGTTAAAGAAACGATGAAAGCTCCACGACCAAACCATCCAGCTCAGAGAGCAAAACACCAAAATCATTCAACTGAGCAACAAATCTCCACCATATTTGTTATCGTATATTATCACAAAAAATTACTCATTCTATACTTTTCTCTCTTTAATCCATAACAGAATGGTACATTAGTAATACCAAGTGAGAATCCTGAATGGCGGATACGATATACAAATTTAATGAATAGTTTTACAGAAAACAATGGAACACTCATTAAATTAGCTGAAAATGTCTTCGACGCTGGATTTACACGTCAAATTGATCATTTACTTGGGAGAAGACATATGCATTCACGTATCTATTTCGGCTATGAAAAACCAATTGAATCACCACAGAAATTTATTGACTAAACGGAAACGAAACACTATATATATAAAAATTCCATTACAGCTCCCGATGAATATATCAATGGCATACTAATCCTTATCCAATAAGATATAAACAACTTTATTCTCATATGCCTGTTCGCCTTTCACAATCTATTCTCATTTTTTTGTATAATCGACCACATCTTTACTGTATCTTGCTCATTCTTAATTGTTATTGTGTATAAAATTAATCTAACTACAAAAGAATAACACTCAATTTACTTTATTTGCATGAAGAAAAACAGAATACTCGGTAGCACTATCAAATTAAAAGCCGAGATAATGGCAGGGACTTGAATAATGATGAAATAATATAAGACTGTAAAAAGACAAACTTTTTCAATTATTTAGATATATACTGCTAATACGTATATATCATTCTCCGCCTGTCTATATATTGTACACACTTTATAGCAAATGTGCATATTACTTATACACTAGCAAGTAGCTTATTTCTTATATATAAAATTATTTTTTACATTACAAATAACATGATACGCACTCATTCCATAAACACATATATACAGAAATAGTTATGTATGTATGTGAAAAAGAACACAGGAAAAGACAATGTCTTTCGTTATTTCGTTTAAATTGTATTTTTTGTTCGGAAATTATTTAATTCATCGGAGATATTGTCTTCTTCATCATCATCATCATCATTATCATCATCATCATCACCACCATGATTATTATTATTATAATCACCGTCACCATCGTCTTCTGTGTAGCATTGTTCCTTTTTTATCTTGATGTCTATATGGTTTTCGAGTTTTTTAAATTGATTTATACTGTCTGTTAGTTTTTTCTTTAATCGCATTTCGTATAAATCTTTTTCATTTTCTAATTGTTTGATTTTTTCCCATTTCATTCTAAATATGGTAGAAATAAAAAAAACGGTGAGAAGATCAAAAAAATACTGGATAAGTAGTTAGTAGATGTTAAAAAGTTGTGAGTTCAAAGAAATGTCACTCATGAATCTGTTTATCTGAATAAGCAGACGAAAATAAGAAAAAAACAGTGGATTAATCTCGGAACCAATACAAATGATAAACTATTGACCTTTTTACAGTCAATCAGTTATAAACGACCTTAAGTAGAATTTAATTTACCAGACTACATCAATGAGTACAGAAAACAAATAATACTAATGATGGTGAGAATTAAACACAAATGGATACAATTACGGAATAATTAGTATGAAATAGAATTAATATTTGAAGGGAGATACAAAAAAATGTGAATGTATATATGATCTTGTGATCGATTTTGAGTTACATAGGCCTTCTAGCATAGATCACAGAGTACAGGTTGGAATTCAATTGATAAATTTGTACATTTTAACGTGATTCAGTTCAATGGCTTCATGGATTAATTGTATGTTTACGTTTGATCACCCCTAGGCCTGTCTTATTCCGACCTACTTCTCTTGTAGCTACGAACTCACATCACAGAAGTCAGTAGCTGAAGATAAGCAATACATGCTACATCTACTTAGGTCAATATCTACATTCTTATCAACTGACTTATCACTTTTTAACTATAACTACGGTCCCAACTTGACATTAGTAAATTCATGCTTCCATTATATGTGAGCATGTTTCGAAGTTATCTACAATCTGTTGGAAAATGCACTAGCCCACTAAAGATTAGACTCAAATTAGTCGAGATAGGCTGTTATTAATCTTCAAACCGTTTGCATGCAAATCAGGAATAACAAATTCGGCCACATCTACAATGACTAACTCTTAAGAATACCCTGAAAAATCCTATAAATACGCTTCCTTCCCATAAGTAATCGTCATTTTGAATGGCAGTAAAATGTCTCCTTTCTTATGTCTCTTCAATAATTGGGTACTGGGTTAAGAGTAATGGGGGGGGGTAGTGAAAGTTTAGTTGAGGGTTATTTTGCGTTTTATCCACTGTTGAGTTGTTATTCCGAATATGATCAGACACGAGAAATCTAACCATATTGTCTGCCTCCAAAATTAGTTTTATCGGTTAAAAATTATAAACAACTAATGGCTTCAGGAAATATTCACTCTTAAATAGACAGACATATTACCTGTGCTACAGGTAGCCTAACATGACTGAAACCCATAATTTAGACAGGATTTAGATAAAATATGTCAGTTAAATAAATGAATAAGAATGACATAACATATAGTATAAATCAGAAAACAGTGACATGACTCTGTCCGATGAGAACACCAACGATCAACGATAATAGAGTTCTATGTTCCGAAATGACACAAGTCATCCAAAATAAACAAAAGCTAAGAGTACTTAGACGGATAAATGGGTAAGAAATATTGTTATCTTGTGATTACAGTTACTAAACACCTCTGTGGAATGTCGTTTCATATATATAACAAGTACATTATAATGTAGTCGATAACATGATTAACCTAAGAGATTTCATGATCTCTGTTTTGTCGAGGTCACTCAAACCTAGTGAAATCAAACAATAAGTTAATCGATTGTTTTCTAAGACACCAAGTGAACTAAACTAAATGCAAATTAATGACAAAAGATATGTATTTCTACACTTTTAATCAGTAATCGATCTATTATTAGTCGTACATGGAGTTATTAAAAAGGATCTATTTGAAGAGAGGAAACTTTTAAAAATGTACTTAGGTGTTGACTCATCATAGTATTTATGGTCAAGATGTGCTACGTGTGCCTAAGCACTGTCTACTTCGATGAGTGATGTTGTTTGGTGTAAGAGTGAACTATAAGGAAGTTAGGGGCAGCCAAATCAAAACATTACATCAGTCCATCAAGTCAATGACAGTTGAACTGAGTAATGACAGTAGCAGTATACTACCTGGTTGCGGTTCACGTCATTATCATAACCAGTGGTCAGAGGTTTTGAATGATATGGCTCAAAATCGTTCGCAGTGGTGCAGATGGATGCATTCTGTATCTTTCCTCAGACTCTGAGTTGTGAATTCATCATAACTTTTTGTGTTTTTATTTCACTAATTTATATTTTCTTGTCGAGTTGTATGTTCAATGAGTAATATTTTCTATTTCCACTGATACTGTTATTACCTCTACTATTATGGAGTTTGGTCTGACAATTTCATCTCTGTGTGCCAATGGGATATGACAACTTGAACCGATGTATATACGTGCCAGGTTTTATGTTACAACTAACTGAATGGCTTAGCATTTATGTACTAAAGCGAAGTCAGTGTTTTCTTTTTTCGAAACACTTCAATTCATCCCATAAAATTCTTTTGTAATGACGCCATAGGTGACTTTCTTTATGAGGTCATAATCATTAATTATTATGTTGAGACTTTGGACTACGTTGTTTGAAAGACAGGATAAATTATTCATTTAAAGTGAATGATTCTCTTGATAAATTTTAAATGAACCGATTTACAATAGTGGTTACATATATTTGGATATTTGATATATAAAATCAAGGGTCGTTTATGAATTGTATCTCTAGTATCACTTGAGTCAATACTCACCAAACGATAATGGATTCAAGAAAAACAAACCTCATGAATTGTAACTACTTATTAGTAATATAAAGGATTTAAAGAAAAACAAGTAGGTCATGACACTTGTAATAGATTGTTTGGTGATATTGTGGTGAATGTAACACCAATCGGAAGTGGAAATCATGACAGTAGATGGTTAAGAAGATCAAGTTGGAGAGGGTGGAAAGAGAAATAGAAAGGAACTACAATTAGGAAGAATCATACAGAATGTGAAGGATAAATGATAGAAATCTGCAAATGAAGTATTCAATATATGGTTCTCATATTTTACCAAGATATTCTGTAATTTCGTATTAAAATACATTTGGCTGTCTCCACCTGTATTCTCGTTCACAAATATACGACTCGGAATCAATTATAATAGCTCAGATGAATTTTCTATTTCTCTCCTCTTATATCATGAATTAAAAATTATTTCATACTCTTCATTCGGTGAATTTACTCCTTCTTCTCGGATCTCATTGTTTATGCCGAATGTTTTTTATTAACTTTGATATTTTCACTATTTCTACTACCCTGACATTTATTTACATAATTTCATTTCACTATGCTAACATAGTGTGGTGGCAACTTAAACCAGTGCACATAAGTACCACGCATGACTGATCCATGGAATCTGATCTTTTCGAAAGGTAGAATAACTATTTAGTACTAAATGTCACCAAACAGAAATGTGATCCGTTAGAAATCAGGGTACATTATGGTTTGATGTTAACAGATTTTGGTAGCATATAACGTTAAAATCTGTGATAAACTATGAAATATATTGTTTAAAAAAAAGGAAATTTAGAGACCCAGGTGCTATTACTTAAAACGTTTCAAAAAATAGAATAACTTCTGATAAGCGATAGTAACCTGTGGCCAAAATTGAAGTAAGCGGGGTGGGGTTCGGACCTGAGACTGAATGATTAAACACCGAATACTTCAATCGCGGAGCCATTCACCTGCTTGTGGAGTCACGATCAGAGAAAATGGTCGTAAATTGATGATCTCAGTCATTAGTCATCAACAACATAGGACCAGGCACATATATATGCATCGGTCCAATTCGCCATACATCATTAACACAAGATGAACACAAAATTCATAGAAGTTACTTCACTGGCCGCAATGTATAAAAAAAGATTGCATATAAGGATATGATACAGGGAGAAAGAACTAGTTCGTAGAAACGAAAGGCAAAAAGTAATTTTAATCTCATAATGTAAGGGAAGATAGAGAGTGTATACACCGACGCCATTGTGATCGGTTCTCAGTCATGTCAACCAGAATCTCCAATCACTGGTTACGATAGTCACACGGAACCCAACCAAGTAGTCTCCATCTACAAATATGGCTCAGACCAGAAGTTAGTGACTTCAAGCACTGATGCCACGTTTTGGTTTGGCCGCCCCTAACTTTCAACAATACCAAACACCGGTTAGCATTTCACGTCGTGGTAATCGGTGTTCAGGCATACGTAACACGTGGCCCAACCATCTCAATCGATGAAGATTTACAACCTCATCAACTGATTTACCATCATTCCGTAATATCCTGTGTCTAACCTCACTATTACTTACCCGGTGATCCCAGCAGATGCCAGAAATATTTCTAAGACATCTGTGGTCAAATACTAGTAGCTTACGAGTACCTTCTACTCTTAATGGCCGTGTTTCGCTGTCGTAAAGTAAAACAGAACGAACTGCCGCACAGTATACTTGTCCATTAATTGATAGACGGATATTTCGCCTCCGCCATAGGTGACGCAAGTTGACAAAAGCCAAACGAGCTTTTCGAATCCGTGCTGAGATTTCGTCAGGTACCAACCCATTACTGCTGATCAGGCTTCTAAGGTAAGTGAAGTTGTCGACGCGTTCGACTACTTCACTCGCTATCCTTAGTTCAGGTGTTTACGCAGACCAGTCCTGAAGCAGTAACTTGCATTTAGAGGGGAGGAAACACGTTTCAAACATCTTAGCATTGTTGCTTAGTGCTACCAAAAGACTGCATTTTATCAGCGTCTTCACCAAACAGGACTATGTCATCTGTCCAGCGATGACTAATAACGTTTAATTAACTTTTTCTAAGAAATAATTCAACAAATGCAATTTTTGTTGTGAAAACAAGTTGGCTTACATTTGTTCATTTATTTCAGCCAAATTTCGTTCAGATACTGATGCTTCACTTTCTTTTTCCATGATTTCTTCTGAGTGCTGAGAAAATATTCACTTATCAGTAGTTAAGGTAATCAATAATAATAATAATAATAATAATAATAATAATAATAATAATAATAATAGTAATATTCAGTTCTTGATACGTATCAAAATTTGAAGCATGCGAATATAGTTTTATTAAGTTTTTTTGTCTCTCGTAACTTAGAACAGAAGAAGGAAGGGGATTTCGATTGTGAACAAGATGACCTCGAGTGCTGTTAGAGGTATGAGGGGGGGGTGTTACTTCCCGATTGTCCACACACTGAAAAAAATGCTTTTTCTTGAGAAATCTGAACAATAAATTTGGTTAAGGATGGTCTTGACGACCCGAAAGTGTGGCTGGATTGATTAATGGAGAGCTATCTGAGGCAGACAGCATTGGTCTTTTTAAAGTAGTTCTTAATGCGTTAGCCATAAGACCTTATGTTATATCCGAGCGAAGATTAAATCACGAGTAACTTCTGAAACATATTAATTGAATAATATTATCTATACATTCTCATGGTATAAATATTCAGTAACTAGATTATGTATATCTATATTCCCCTTATTATAAGCTTTATTTTGACCTATAATTTATTATTGTACGATTTACTGTTCTGAAGCTATGCTCAGTTTATTAACTACTGCCTCCTACGTTCACAGCCACTTTTTGGCTTTATTGTGTACAAATGTTATTTCCTATTTTATGGTGCGTTGAGGTCTGTTTGGTTGATATATAAACCCGTTATGTCTGAAATAAATGATTCGATACGCATAGTGGAAGCTGGTATTGGTGTTCTCGACTCAAGTGGACGGGCTAGGCGGACATAGGACCAATAAGGACGCTAGGCTGCTCATACCGGTCGAACGTCATTGGTTTGGCACAGTGCTAAGATTGTATAATTCGTATTTTGATTGGTGGATAAATCATGTGATAAAAAGCCGGACATAAAGTCACAACACCTTACATCCGGTAAAGCAAATCCATGAGGCAAGCTAAAATTTGCTATTTTAAGGCTGGAATTTTCTAAACCCTTCTTTCCGTCGTGAGAAGGCAGAATCGCTGCAGATGCTTTTTATCTGAAGGAAACATCTTACACCATGCTACTACACCGCTGGCAGTACGATTTTATCATCGGGTCCGAATTTATTGCCTTTAATCTCACTGCTCACTAAACGACATGGTAAGATCTGAAGGAGTGTTCAACCTAATATAGTTCGATCGGGTTATTACGATGTCCAAGCCCGATCACTACAGCAAGGTAGCAAATACGGTAGGGCAATCAACAGAAAGGTGTACTTGAATTATTTTCTTATTTATTTATTTATTTATTTGAACACATAAATATTGGTACAATAGAGCGCCAATATATATGCGCCACACAAAACAATGGGAATTCGAAGAGAAGTAGAAAGAAGAAAAAAAAACTAAGGAACGCAAAAGAAAAAGAGAACAATGACGAAGAGATTGGAGTAAGGTAGTGTGGTAGTAACGACGGAACGAAAAGGTACAGTCAGAAGAAATCTTTCAGGTAAAGGAGACACAACCACTTTTTATGAAGAAAGTAAAAGAAGGTTACAGCAGGATCGCCACTGGCTTCTATTCTGAGCCATATCTGATAACGTCTCTAGCCACTATGTAGCACCATCTCTCGGACCCCAGCCAGGGAGTCGTGAAGGACCAACACAAGCCAGTCCTTTGCAGCTTTCTTTCATGCCACGACACCATGTCATGCACTGACCACCTCTCCGCTTCTTCCAACCAGTCCCAGAGTCGGCAAATAATGCACGACGTGGAATTCTCTGGGACGACATTCGGAGAACATGTCCAAGCCACCGAAGTCGGTGTTTCAAGATGGTGACATTGATTGCATTATCATCTCTGTGCCAGAACACACGATGCCAAACCTCTGCATTACTGACATCGTGTTGCCACTGGATGTCAGCAATCCTTCGGAGACAGCGATGATCGAACACAGAGAGTCGTCTAACGTCCTCAACTCGGAGAGGCCAGGTTTCACAAGCATAGAGCAAAACTGCTCTCACCGACGCGTTGTAGATCCGGCCTTTTACAGCCAGACTAACATCACGAAGGCGCCATAGATGGCCCAGATTGGCATAAGCCGCTCTGGCTTTCACTATTCGTGCATTGATCTCATCACTCACACCCCCACCAGCACTTATGCAGCTACCCAGATACACGAACTTCTCAACTACTTCTATCTGCTCACCGTCCAGGGTGAGTACAGGATTAGAATCCTGCCAGTCTTGTAGAAGTACTTTGCACTTCGAAGGTGCAAAGCACATACCATACCTACGGACACTGATTGCCAACTGATTAAGTGCGGATTGCATGCCTTGGGCATTATCGCACAGTAAGACAATATCGTCCGCATACTCAAGGTCGAGAAGTCTTTCTCCAGGCAACAGATCCACACCACCATTACTTACATTCATCAGAGCTGTTTCCAGAATGTCATCGATGGCAAAGTTGAAGAGGAATGGTGAGATTGGGCAACCCTGCCTAACCCCACTGCTCGAATGGAACAATGGAGAGAGGTGGTTGTATGCCCTCACTCTGCCTGAGGTGTTTTTATACAGGGCTTTTAGGATGTTAATAAACTTCTCAGGCACACCCTTCTTCAATAGACAATCCCAGAGAACAGTCCTATCCAACGAATCGAAGGCAGCCCTGATGTCAAGAAACACTACGATTGTTGGCCTTTGAAAAGTATGGCGGTGTTCTAACATTTGGCGGAGGGTGAAGATATGATCAATACATCCTCGACCAGAACGAAACCCAGCCTGCTCCTCGCGAGTCAATCTTTCTCGGGTTTTGAACAACCTACGAAGAATGACGGAAGCCAATAGCTTGGACGCAATCGGAAGTAAACTTATCCCCCGATAGTTGTTACAAGAACGACGTGAACCCTTTTTAAAGATAGGGACAACTATCGACTCATTCCATGACGTTGGTACACTCTCTAGTTCCCAAACCTTTGTAAACAACGTCGTCAATTCCTTAGTCAAAAAGTCACCACCATCTTTAAAAAGAGCCGGAGGTAAGTCATCTGGGCCAGGTGATTTGTAACGCTTCAAGAGTTGGAGTTCCTTGCGGACTTCCTCCTCATTTGGTGGATCAGTCGTCACCGGCCATGGAGGGCAGGACAGTCTGACCGATGTTGCCGGAGCAGCAGGCCAGTTGAACTGCCCTTCGAAAAATTCTGCCCATCGTCCAAGACGTCGATGGATGTTAGTGATTGGCATCCCATCATCCTCGCAGATTGTTTCACTCACACCAGACTTCTTGCTGCCAGTGGCTCGGATGAGCTGGAAGAGCTTCCGGCAGTTACCAGATGCAGCTGCTGCTTCCAGCTCATTAGCACGCATCGACCACCAGGCTTCTCGGTCCTTACGCAAGCTTTGCCCAATTTCCTCACGTAACATCCTTCGTTTATGGTCAAACTCACGGTCACCCGGAGTAGACCGACGGGCTTCAATGAGTTGTAAGGAACCAGAAGAAACCCAGTGCTTAAAAGCGGGACGTTTTGCAAACCCACAACTGACTGTTCCCGCCATTTTCATGGCGTCATGCAATTGCAACCAATGCTCATCTATACTTTTCGGTGGAGTGGTAGCTAGCCTAGAGGCTAGCTCGGTTCGATACTTACTTGCAACAGAAGTTGCAACCAGCTTGCTAACATCAATCCGTTGATGGCGTTCACTTCGTTGTCCACTGAAAAGTAAGGCAAGATTGGCGCAGACCAAGGCATGGTCAGAGTCCAGATAGGTACTCCAAAAGGAGCGGCAGTCTTGTACACAACCACGCCAGCGGTAGCTGATCGCGATGTGATCAATCTGAGTCCAGGCTTGAGATGCAGAGGGAGGACGCCAGGTGGCACATCGGCGATGACTGTGCCGAAAGTTAGTGCTAGCCAGAAACAGGTTGTGGTCTGTGCAAAGTTGCAGTAGACGGTCCCCGTTATCTGACCTGCGACCAACGAGTCCCCATCGGCCACCTAAACGACTCTCTTCTGTGCCTAGACGCTCGACCTGAGCATTCAAGTCTCCGGCTAGTACTACAATATCTGTCGAACGCACTTTCTGGAGAAGAACTGATAACTGGTGGTAAAACTCATCCTTGATTGCATCCGGGCTGCAATCTGTCGGGGCATAGGCGGAGATGACGAAAAGACATCGTTTCTCACGCCGATTTCTTCTCACTTTGATGGAACTCTCTAATCTAACAGCACATAACCGACTGTTAATGGGGATCCAATCGACTAGTGCTGCCTCAGCTCTAGCGCTTAGTGCGACACCAACGCCAGCAAGACCAGACGAAGATGCCACAGGGTCCCCGGATAAGCGCACGTAAAACAAGCTTTTCGAAGCGACAGATGGAGATCGAATTTGTAGTACTTCGCCAGAGTCTTGAGTACGGGTCTCGGATAGACAACACACGTCGATATTAAGACTTTCCAAAGACATAGCCAGCCCTATCTGTTGTCCGACCTGCATAAATGTGCGAACGTTGAAGGCAGCCAGTTTGAATGGTGCACGTGGTTTCAGAAAATCTGCTTCAGTCCTCGTATTCGGTGGTAACATACGATTTTCAACCGGACAGTGACTCGAGAACGTTTAGATACAGTCGGATTTCCACCAAAGACGAGCCGCTGTATAAGTATAAAAGAGGGTGAATAATGTGGAAAATAATAATAATAATGATAATAATAACAATAATGACAATAATAGTAGTAATAATAATATTAGTATTAATAATGACAATAATTGTAATGATAATAATCTGAATCAATTGTTTGTTTTTCAAAGCGAGAAAGGTAATTTCCATAGGCATAAAGAGTTCATCAATTTGTGTGTGGGCTGTGATACTGCCCGGGTGCCCAAACCGAAGCAGGTGGTTATCTTAGGGGGCCACTCCCCGAGCCTTTGACCTAAAGGTCTAACCCACAAGGCAGTGGAGCATCGTAAGGAGATGCAGTCCCATGGTAGCCGGTGACCAACGATTGGTTCATACGCCATTCGTTCCCGCAGGATACTGGAGCCCATGTGCACCATTGATTTGGAATCCGGTTAAAGCGCCGGACATTCGCTTTTCGTCCTCTCATTTTCGTAAACAACACCCCCGCCACGAGAAGGCAATGAGTAGGACTTCCCTGGCAGAGGCTGTATACGCGTGGCCGTGTGAGAGTATTTCGAGAGGGAGAGCGGACTCTCCCCACTCTCTGCCGTACCAGGGCATTCAGGGGGCCCGTACCAGGGCATTCAGGGGGCTGGCTCCTCGACCGGGAATCGAACCCGGGCCTTCCACGTGACAGGCGGAGATACTTACCACTATACAATCGAGGAGCATCAGACTTTTTTTTTCTTAACTCAGCAATCAAGCACAGTTTCATGTATTTAGCTTTGACCTACAGTTCCTCATGTGAAGAACGGTAAGAGGAATCACTTCCTATTGCTACGTATGGAAAGCCACCTCCTACTTCGATGCATAATGTCTGGGGAACTTAGAGTATGTTACTAGAATATATTGTCAACGAATGATTTTTCCTAGCTTACTTGTCTCTTGTCCTATACAATTTTATAGGCTTTTATAATAATTAACGACACAAACATAATTTCCGTATTATTTATCAGACAGTATGGGATCAAGGGTTGGAGGGGAAGACAGTGAAGTAGATACCAGTCACCAGACAGATAAACGTACATTGTCAAATTCCATGATAAAAATTAGAATGCACATAAAACAGAATATCAACAACACAAAGTTCTAATAATCTATAAAATTGATAAGACGCCATTTTAAGGTCAAACAGTAGGCAAGGTCTCATAAACAAACCACACCATTGGAGGAATTTGACTACAAACCCACTCAAACTTTCAGCCTACATGTTCTTGTCCAAGCCAGAAGGATACATATATATATATATATATTCTTCCTTGCACGATATAATGCTGTACTACAATACTATATGCTGAGCGGATAACCGAGTTTATATATATATATGGTCTCTAACACTAAAGAATAAACAATATCCCAATTATCATCACAATAAAATTCAAGAGTATTCCATGAATTCGATATATAGTAATGAAAGTATGATTAGTTGCTGATTGTGGGCAAAGAGGCACTCAACTCACTGACTACTAAATATGCGATTTCCTTTCCTCTAATTCACTTTTACTCCGGAGTCACTGAGTGACTGCTTGTAATTGTGTAGAATAAAGTATTATTTAGTCTATGTTTTAGTGTTCTATATTTAGCCGTGGATCGGGTATCTGACATGATATGGTCTAGTATGAGTACAGCGGATCATTCGAGTACCAAATCTAGCGGTATTATAAACTCGGTCATCCGCTCAGCATATATTATTGTAGTACAGCAATATATCGTGCAAGGAAAAAAATCTGTTCTATCCTCTCAATACATAAGAAGTTGATAAGGGTGAGAAATTGATCATCTCAATGATTTCAGTACTAGACTTATAGACAATACGTTATAACCTTGAAACGATGGCTTAGGAATTAAAGCGGTAAACTACCAAATTAGGGTTAAAATCTTACTCTATATAACTTATGCTGCGGACCCCAGCAATAATAACCCTTGCCAAACAGTAAGTGCAGCTCATATGTGAGCACACAAACTCATATCTGTAGAGTTGGATTTATTATGGATGAGTAGATATCACAATGAAAAGTATAGAATTACCTTTTCCAGAGCAATCATTTCTTTTTGAAAAAGTTCCAACTCTTCTGCCATTTTATCCTTATATGGAACACATCGAACCTATATAACAAAAAAGAAGTGGAATTGTCGCCATGAAAAATCATTATATTATAGTGTCATACTTTTGCATCCTTATATCGGTCATCAAAAAAACCCTCTGGAAGTTGAGATTGCGATTCTACTTTTTTCTCTGCAGGATTTTTTTCACATATTTTTTCACTGGGAATTAACGTTGGTAAGTTGTTGTGTTGGTTAGCATCCGAATCTTTCTCGTCTGACTTAACCTGTACATATGGAAATATACATCACAGAAATTCCCACACACCTACTTCGTTTTCAACTTTCGCCGATTTACAGGTTACCTCGTCAATTGCTTTGGCTCCTGTAGTAGGACGTTTAATGGGCAATTGGATCCCACGTAGTTCGTTCTATAGTAATTTTAGAAAAAAAGACAAAAGCTCAGCACATACTTGTTTATGCGACTTGCTGAGTATATGTGCAGTCCAAGCAAATTCTGATTTGATTTGCACACCACATAAAATGCATGATATCCGACCGAGTTGATTATATCTCACATGAGGATGATCAATAGTCCGTTGAGCTTGTGGCTTTGTAACTCTAATCAATTGACGAATATCTGATTTAGGAATGATACTAACATCATTTGATCTTTTATTATTCATTGAAGAAAGGGAGAGCTGTAGTTACGTGTAGTTACATGTGTTTTTGTCAAAAAAAAGAGAAACAAGGGGTTAGAACAATTTGAGCTGAAGGTGATTTAGGTAATTGCGAATTATTTGTGAATACTTGTTGCTGGATAACCAACTTAACGTTGACTAAACACCCATTCACGAGTTGCGAACTATGCATTTATTGTGATCTGAATTTTCGTTTTTGAATAATGTCTTAAGATGCCAACAGTATAGTAACTAGTGTGATAACTATACAACCTGGTGTTCCATTTATTTCATTCCATCTAATTTCTATTAAATGGCTTAACTAGAGATATATGACATTATAACAAATGTTTAGTCACGTTTTTTAGTTGTGTAAAGTCTGTACTATAGTTTCTAAGGAGAATAATGCATGCAACGAGAACGTTAGTAGTCTAAACTAAAGAAATAAAAGGTGGTATAAATGAAGGCAGTACACAAGAGTACGGATGTTGTAGTCGTAAAACCGTTGTCTGATTTCACGAACAGGTTGAAGAAAATTACTTATCATAAATCAATGTTACGTGACATATATTTCACCCCAACAGATGAGAAATAGTTACACATTTTTGTATTGATCTTAAAGAGACATAAACGAACGATATATTACTCAGTGAGGTTAGTCAAAGGAAAACAAATTTAGTTTTTCAGTGTAATTGGTACCATAATGAACATTGAAAAAGTTTTTAAGGGATTTATTAAATAGTGAGAATACCTCCTTCCCTGAGTGAAGTCCTTAGCTAAGAGACAAACAATCAAAGTTTGTGCATACTTTGGAGTAATTCTCTATATATTTAACACGTTGATAATCTTTCTTCAAGAGTTGTTACAGAATGAAACTCGGGATTTATTTATTGTGGGAAGACGAGTTATAAGGAATATGAAAAACAAAACCAGGGTTCTTCTCTGCTGGACTTGGTAATCACTCATGAGACTGAGGATATTGTCGACTTAAATATTCTCCCACCGTTAGTGAACAGCGATCACGCTGTTTTGTCATTCGCGTTTAGAACTAGGGACATGTTATACGATCAGGTTACACCTCGCCCAAATGTATGGAAAGCTAACATATCAGCCATTCAGGAATGCGCTGCTAAGACAGATTGGTTAGTAGATACTAGCATATCAGTTGAAGATTTATTTATTTTAACACATAGATATTGGTACAACGAGGCACCAAATACATATGCGCCACACAAATCTCATTCGATATGTGTGAGGGCTGTGATACTGCCCGGGTGCCCAAACCGAAGCATGGTCTGTATTTAAAGGTAAATTTAGACTATTTACGTCCCCGTTCATACCATACCTGGTACCGCGAAGACCGAATAACAGTCCACCATGGATAACGAAAAGAGTCAGGAGACTTCTTAGAAAAAGGAAGAAGCACTGAAATATGTTCATCTCTACTGGCTTAGAACAATACATATCCAGTTATTGTAAGATTAGGAATGCCTGTAAATTGTTAATAAGTAATACTAGACGATCATATGAAAAACGACTGGTTAGGGATTCTAGATATAGTCCGAAACTGTTATTCTCGTATTTGAAAAGATGAACTTAGAGAAGCGATGGAATTCCACTACTTTTGATACAAGAAAATCTTGGCAGAAAATGATACCGAAAAAGCTGAAGCTTTATCGAAATATTTCAGTAAAGTGTTTTCTATCGGTAATGAGGAACGACCAACGATTCACTGTGATTGCGGCGGCTCGCTGATGGACCCTGTAGTCATTGAGAAAGGTACTGTTTTAAGGCTACTTCAGCATCTCAAACCTGATAAGTCCAGTGGTCCGGATGATATTCATCCTAAGATTATGAAATCCCTATCAGATGAAATTGCTGAACCATTAGCGATACTATTCGACATGTCTCTAAGGCAGTCCAGACTGCCCAGAGACTGGAAAGACGCCATAATAAGTCCGGTGTATAAGGCTGGGAATAGTGATTTAGTTAGTAACTGTAGACCCGTTAGCTTAACTAGTGCAGTTGTAAAACTGATGGAGAAAATCATTCGGATAGCTGTTATAAACTATGTTGAAGGGCAAAATCTTTTCTCCAGGGCACAACATGATTTTCGGAAAAGCCTATCTTGCTTGACAAATCTTCTTATTGCACGAGAAGATTGGGCTGCGGCAAAGGATCGGAATGTTCCTGTGGATGTGATTTTCATAGATCTAAGTAAAGCCTTTGATAAGGTTTCACACTCTGGTCTTAAATTCAAACTGGAACGTTTTGGAATCCATTATACAGTCGTAGATTGGATAAGTAACTTTTTCCATGATAGGAGACAAAGGGTAAGGGTTAATGGGGCTCTCTCCTCGTGGATACCTGTAAAAAGTGGGATCCCCCAAGGTACAATCCTATGTCCTCTTCTCCTCTTACTTTATGTAAATGAATTGCCAACTGTAGCAAAATCATCCATTCTACTCTTCGCTGATGACATAAAGATTTGGAGACCCATACATAGTATGTCGGATAGAATAGTATTACAGGACGATCTTAGCTCATTGGTGGCATGGTTAGACAGGTGGTCACTAGAAGTAAATCCTAACAAGAGTGTAGTGATGCAGTTAAATAACTCTGATGAATCGTATGACTATATACTACGTGGATTCGTGCTACTCAAAGCAAGAAACTATAAAGATTTAGGAGTTATATTAAGCAATGATCTCAAAACGACTAGTCACTGTAAGGCTGCTGCTGCAAAAGGCTATAAGGTATTATGGTCAATTCGTAGGTCTTTCCAGTATTTAGATGATGAAATGTTTAGATTACTATACCCGATTTATGTGCGACCACATTTAGAAAACGGGATTCAAGCAGCGTGTCCTTGTTTTAAGTATGAAGCAGATATGCTAGAAAGAGTCCAACGACGAGCTACTAAGATGGTACAAGGTCTATCTGGCCTATCTTATGAAGACAGACTGAGACACCTTAACTTATTTCCGTTATTTTACCGTAGAATACGGGGTGATCTAATATTGGCCTATCGTATACTGAAAGATGACCTTGGTATTAACATGTCTTATCTTTTGCTTCTGTCTAGAACCGATCATTTGAGAGGACATTCGAAGAAAGTTCAAAAACCGAGATCAAACCGTTTACGTCTGGAGTTCCGTTTCTCGCGCCGAGTAGTGAATTACTGGAATTCTCTACCGGAACACGTAATATCAGCACCGTCTGTTAATATATTCAAAACGAGGTTGGACCTCCACAGTATTACAAACTGCAAGGATTAATATAGGTCGATAGACCTACTATCCTTATTATTGAAGACTGATGTGTTATACACGGACAACTCCCATTCGTTCATTATCTACTAGAAGGAGAAGAAAGGTTAGTAGTGACGCTCAAAAGAAAACAAAAATTCACACCTTGTTTATGTGTTTAAAAACAGATAGGGAGTGAGGTTTTTCAAAAACTTTACTAGTTAGACGATACAGAACTGTCTAAAACAATATAGGGTCAATAACTAAGAAAATGATACAAGACATTGTCCAAGTGCAAACTAATGGTGGCAGAGATGGGCTTCTCATGAATAGCACTGCCATTCGAGTTGAGTGCTAGTTTGAGCCGTATGAGATCTAGTTACGCATTTTTACATGACATAACAATGAAACTAAATTTATGCATGTCCTCATAGCGACACCAAAGTAACCTGGAGCATGCACACACAATCTCGCGATTTTAAGAAAATCTGGAAAAATTTCGGGGTTTTATTTCGTATGCCCATAATATTTTGTTGAAGCTGCACCGAAATTAGTACACTTTTTCCCTGGAATTCGTCGTCTACATTCTAAGGTCAAGCGAGAATTATAAACCACTCTGAGCTATTACGATTATTTTAAACAGCTAGATGTTAGGGTCAGGACCAAGGGTTTCACCATGAAATGACATCAACTATAACACAGCGAGACTATAATTTCTGAACGAACCAATTAGTTGATCAATCAGGTACAAAATAACAGGTTTCGAATGTTGGTGCGAAATTCACTCATTATTCGTGTTAATAGAGTTTTGGTATTATAGATTATGTCGGTTCGTAATGAAAACCCTAAATCTAATTTCTAACCTAAACCATCAAATGTTAACCATAATTCTAAATCCTCACACAGGTTTATAACCCTCGTTTGGTCCCAGTTGTTAGGTGGGCACTTTCAAGGTTAAGTTAGCATCACTCGGAGGTCGTCCATAATTTATAGTCTCACCAAAGGAACTAGAACGTCAAATATGTGAAGATAACCCTAAAAGACCTTGACGTACGGCTTAGATTCATATTTCGCGCTACTTCAGTGAATATTGAGGTGATCAGATCTGAATTATAAATAGCTTTCTCATATTTATTCGATTTTCGGTGACATAATCACCTCATTTTGCGCCTAAAATCATAGTTGAGCTTCAAAAATAATATGCAGATGGATTTAAATCTGACTACCGTTCTATGGTTGTTGATATAATATGTAAGGTGTATTTATTATACAGGATTTCTGATCTTCTAAGGACTTGAAAATAATCCATTATTGACAAGCTTTGAATCAACTCATATTCAACTTATTCGAAACCCGACACACTTTGTCTTGGGGTATTAGTTGCCAAAATACTCGTCCTCCATAATTTGGATTGTACTGGGGTTGTTATCATTCAACTTTTCTCACTACTGGTGAACAGATGTGAAATTGCATTATATTCTACATCTTTGAAATTCTACTATCAATATGAATGCATGAGATCATAAATCAGAGATTTCTCCTTGTCAACACATTTGTCGGTAAAAATTATTCCGCCAGTGTAACAGATCTGGAGTTTTGGGTACTTTCACATATTTATCTTATGTATATCTGGATTCTGGCAAATGTCTCAAGCTTTACTATAGTCGCACTTTGGGTCTTCTTTACATGTCACGCCTATGACGTCGGTTCTATCTAGGACCTGTGAGACCAGACTTTGACATCCCTCATTCTCGTTCG